CGGGTGGGGCGGGTATGCCACCGCAAGATACGCTTCGGTACAATGAATTTCTCCGGGTGGGGCAGCTATGCCACCGCAAGATACGCCCTGACACGATCAGCTTCTCCAGTTGGGGCGGCTATGCCACCTCAAGGTACGCTTCCCTACAATGAACTTCCTCCAGTTGGGGCGGCTATGCCACCTCAAGATACGCTTCGGTACAGTGAATTTCTCCGAGCGGGGCGGCTATGCCACTCCAAGATACGCCTGCAATCGCGCAGGCTCATGAGATGGGAAGCTCCACACGACCGAACGAACACCAATTTCGACGAATCAATAAGTCAATATCGCTGTTATTTAGACTGAGTCCGCTCTTTTAGGGGCCGATATGCCACATCTCGGAACTGTTCAAAAGATACAAGTAGCTCAAGAGCGCCGGATTCCCCATCACTTGCGCTCACGAGTCGTGTCGGCTCTCGGCTGTGCCGCATAATTTAATGGCTATAACTGGTCAGATGCTTCACCGATAAATTTATCCGAACGCCTTCATGTCTAGTCAACTCACAAATTTACCGTAGTGAGAAAAAAATGAAAACCGTTGAGGAGCCGTAAGATTTTCAAGATGAACTATTGTCCCCCCAACTTCGCAGTTACTCAGCTTTGTCCAGCCAGCCGTCAAGTAGCGCTGATGGACGAGATAAATACCCCGCTGAAAGGTCTGCAGGATATATGCAAGGATAAAGGACTCCAGTTACTGGAGTCCAGTAGCGGATGGGGAGGGGCTCAATGGGAATTACTGAGACGAGTCTTCTTTCTGATTGAATCCTCCTGAGAACAATGCTGGTCCTATCCATGGTGCTACAAGCATTGTTTCTGAAAAGATTGTATCACCATTCTATTCTACTGGTGGTCTCCTGCTCGTCCTAGACGCACAAAAAAGATTATGGTAGCGTTCTAACAGTATTGGAGACACCTGTCATCGCCTGCCAGTACTAGTACATCTATCTCTAGATACGCGGTTCAGGAGATAACCGTTTACACAGAAAGGAACGGTGCCTCGATCTTTGCTTTCGCTGTAATGATTTTATAGTTGACCATCTCCGAGCCACTAGTCAGTCTTAGCGTCCGTCTGCGTTCGACAGGGACAGTCATAGTGGCAGTGAGATTTCCCTAGAGGATTCTCGGGGTTTGCCAATACCCCTCACACTTCTATATTATTCCCACTCAAAGCCGAGATATCCGGTCAGGGTTATTGGTCGTAAATATGTACTTATATCCTGCTTGATCGAGTATAATACCGCTCATGCTGAGGAGGGAGGTGCTCTTAACGCGGATGGAGCAAAGACACTTCTTCAAGGGCTCGCATGTGCTTCTTGTGGTTCGATGGGTTTAAGGTTCGTCTAGGAAGATCGTCACCACGACTAAGAAATCTGAGGGTGCTTCTGTGTCTCAGAATACAACGAAGACAGTCATTTCTACTAGTGCCGCTTCTGACGCCGCTCGGGCAGGTCTCTCGGAAGAATATGTCTGCATTGTCCGATTGTGCACTTACTCCTGCACTTACTACGGGCGTAAGATGATAAACTTCCGCTGTATTATCCCTTATTATACACAGGGAATATGCGCGGATTTGAATGGGACTTACTGGTAGGATCACTTGTATTGCAGAAAGAACGGAGGCTGAAGCAGGCCAAACGTGAAGTACTCCGGAAAGATTTGCGCGGTGCTACGCAAGTGCTACTCAAATCTGTTGTATCCAATCCAAGAGATTGGATACAACAGATTTGGAACGGAAACGGTTGAAGATAAGAAACTAGATCGAGCACTACGATTTGGTATGGCTAATAAAGAGAGCGAGCAAGCGAAAAGAAAGGCTCGGTGGGATTTCCATGTACAGTCACTTGGTGGTGGCGATGTGCCTACGTAGATCTGAGAGGTTTGGGAACGGCGCTAAAGGAATTGAGGATCTTGATGAGGAGACTGCGAGGAAGCTTGAAAGAGCACAGAGGTGATAGTGCAGAGACGGTGGTGAAGGGGAAGATGATTGTCCAGGTTCGGCTTGGTTACTGCCGACACTGAAGCTGAGAAGAAGCGAATGAGGAGTCTGCGATTTGGTACGTAAGTTGATGATGAGTGGTAACCAACGCCCCCTTCAATGCTTCCAACTTCATCGGTCTTGTATTGTTGCGTCGTGATGAGAGCTGAAGAGAGCTGAAGAGAGGGGAGTTGATGGCGTCGAGGCTTAGTTCCTTCATAAGGGGGGGGACTATAACAAGGTGGAATTTTATGACGTATCTTCCCCTCTGAAACCGAACTCGTTCCATGAACTGACAAGCTCTCCCTTGTACGGAGGTGTGGTGAAGCTATGAGCGTACTTGGTAGTCTCATCCCCAGATACCATGGCATTGTTCATGGTGAAGGTGTGATCTTCGTCACAGATGGGGCGAAGATATCTCTCACTGCCCCCCTCATCAGGAGGGGCAGTGAGAGAAATATGAATATCTTCATTCACATTTGTAAGAGAAAAGTCACTACCCGGATTTGAACCGGGGTTGTCACGGCCACAACGTGACGTCCTAACCACTAGACGATAGCGACTTAATATTAAAGCGTTCAGGGGTGCTTCTACACACCCCGTATATTACTCACAGTTTATCGATGCTACTCCGTCGCTCAGAGCAATATCCTTGCGGATCCCTAACTCTGTGCATGTGGGCAGAGACACCCCGACGAGAGACCCATCAGTTTAACGCCATCTAAACAACCAACCGGTCGGACATCGGCAGCCTTCTCAGACATCGCGACTATACTAATATGCTTCGAATTTTCAATAATAACGCAATTTTCTCTTACATAGTGAAACAATATTTAGTTCGTAGTCGTGACATATTCTCATTGTGTGTTCGGATTCTTCTTGGCAGTTGTGACGAGCAGCCCGCTGATTTACAGACTGTCACTCTCAGAGGAACTCGCAACCCAACAAAACTACTCGTGGAGACACTAATATCATTAGTAGTAGCTACGCCTCAATACACAGGCGAGGGAAATAGTAACACTTCAAGTGAGGATAGGCTTTACTTTGGATAAAAGATACAAGCGCTGATCATCTTGAACACAATCATATACGTGCACTACTAGGAACAACAATAACAAACTGCCGACTGGTTCGGTACATATCAATACTTGAATGGGTTGATTACGGGTAGAAATAGTAATAGTGTGCGACGCACAATGAGTGGAGTTTACCACTTCCGGTGGGCTAGACACTTGTCACTAATACTCGATCGAACTCGAGATATTTCGGGCTCATCGAAGACGTCGTCAGAAACGTCAAAGTTTGTCAGTGGATCCGATACGGACTTCGGGAAGGGAGACGAAGTTGACTTCACGTAAAATGGTGGTGGTGGTGGAGGTGTAATGAACTCCTGAATACAAAAATCTTCGCTGTGCGCACATAGGAGTATCTTTGGCACCTCTGGCGGGCTATAATAGTATCTTCCAGATATTTCAGGAGGTGGTAGAGGCACTCCTACTCTTGGAAGCACCACAGGGCCGGGACGGACTGGGGGAGTATCTAGGGACGATAAACGAGTTGGAATATGCACATGCTGAACTGCACTTGATGACGACAATTGCGGAATTTCTGAGGAAATATGGGAAAATTCTTGTCTACGAAGCGGTTATAAGTATCATCTCTTTCCTCTTCAAAAACTATCTACTGTGTGATTGGCTATCGATTGCTTCAATTTCAGAGAGGCGCTGTCCTTGTCGAAAAAAAATCGGATTCGCTCAGGAGAATGGCAAGTTCCTTATGATTCAGCACATGCACTGCCCCGACTTACACACTGCGCCTTTCCGAACGGGAACTTGGACTCGGTGTTAGAACCTACACATCAAATATGTAAACTTACGAGGATAAGAGAAGTGCACGTACAGGAGCATATGAAGAACGTGAAGTAACGACAAAGCCGGGAGGCGTCGCTCCGCTGTACTCACTGGCTGGGTAGTATGAATAATCGCCGTTAACGGGCACCATACGACGCTGGTTGTCTCTGAAGGTAGCACGAGATGTCAGTCATGTTCGCCTTCGATGAGCTTATGCTTTCCACATGTATATATGATGAAACACTGTATAGATATAAACCATATATTGACGTCTATCATTTTATATTATGAGAAAATTAAGAGCAGCTATACTCCTATTTTTTCTGCCACTTATCCATCTGATCAACGCTTGACTGATGAGAACAGGGATACTACGAGTAAATCAAAAGGAAAGTAAGAAAAAAGTGAAAACTGTACCGTTTCTGGCGGTCGTGATACTCCAATGCTGTTTTTCACGGAGCTTTACACTCCAACGCTTCCACGAAATTCAAAATTTTGTTCGAAATTTTGTTCATTCTTTGAATCAGCCTCAATTTTGCTCTACGTCTTGCCACCTATACCTACCTCGCGCGCTGTCTCCTCCTTTTCTGAAGATCATAAAGCTGCGTCAACGGGGCGACATCAGTAGCCGTAGCAATACTACTCACCGACCTTTTAGTGGACGATAGACTTCTTTGAGAATTTGCTACTCTATTCGCCATGGAATTGAAATAAACACCTTCGATAAAACTAGGAAATCTCGCCCAAGCCGCGCCATGTGGAACATATCTATAATAGGGTTTTATTTCTGCTCCCGTGAACCACTCCTCCTTCAACAAGGCGGACAAACGACAATATAGGAGTATAGCTACGGACCATGCAGTAGAATCAGACCTGATATATGTATGAAAAAATATCAGACAACCACTCCTTACTCGAAAGGGTTTATTATAGAGTTCATTCGAACCCCCCGTATCATACACCGTATTTTAGCAATCGAAAAATCGAAATTAATCGCAAGTCACTGAGAAACCCTCCCATTTCCCATTTTACCAAAATTTGAGCGAAAATCGCCAAAAAACTCATTTTTCCCATTTTTCTCTGCATGGAATTTCTCAACGACCCCACAGAATTAACTCAACATTCAAGTATAAGAGACAACCAATGATAACAGATGATGTCATGACATGAAGCTATCGCGCTCGCCCGGGAGGTAGTTGTATTTCGATGCCTCTGAAGAGCAGTGTGGGAAAATTTGCATATGTTCTTATATATATGTCGGTAACAAAACGAGGATTCTGAGAAAACTTGGGAAAAATCTCATTAATTTCTGTACATTTCTACCCGAATTTGTATGTAAACGGCTACTATAATTAGTGAGGAAACGGAAATTCTGAGAAAACTTGGGAAAAAATTTTTCCTTGATTCCTCCACATTTTCACCCGAAATTATATGTAAACTTCTACTATAGTTAGTGAAGGGAACTCCTGAGCTCAGCTGAAGAAAGCGAACATATATATTCCAACACTGCTGAAGATATTACAAATATCGACATATTTTGAATCTTACCAACCAAATAAGAACATCCCCTCGTTTTACTTGGCAATTCTGTTGTTGATTTCATCGAGGCGAACAGCCCTGTGTATTGATTCTCGACACTGCGGGCAATACGGATGGTCTGAAGCATAGCATACAAGTACTATACTAATTGATCTATCGGGAGTTTGATGCGGCCAACCAAACTCCCAGTGTATACTTATTATAAAAAATACATTCATCATGTTGAGAGATTATATAGCCAGAAATTAAATTTAATGCATTTGCATGAAAAAACAACATACATAGTGGATAGTATGAAGGGACCGACCTGACCGTTTTATAGCGGTGATACAGCTGATACACATCCCACCGTGAGCACAAGGGAGGACGACAGAGTTACCAGGAGCATCCTGAAACACGTAAAGCATATAGAAAAGTAATAGCCTAATGGAAGCGGGCCGCTTTACAAACCCCTGTGATCCAGGTTCGAATCCCAGTAACGGCTTACACGTCCTGCTATTCCCCAATTGGATGAGAAAAGACAAAAAAGAAGGGAGACAATCGGAAATCGGTGAAGTACTATATACCAAAATATACTCTGTCACGGCGATTCACTCCCCCCCCCATCTCGAAATAGGCCGCAGGATCGAATCCCACAGTCCACATTTTTATATGCAAAAAAAATAACACAAATTTTCCTCATTTTAAGGGGTGTTATCTCAATCAACTTGAATGCCCACCAGATTGACGTCTACCATGCATATAGTGCAGACCGGTACTTCCTCTTCTTCCTCCGCTTGGGTGTCCACACTGGACCTTCGACCAACCACGATCGGTGTTATTGGTATCACCTCAGACATGGGGGGTATTGACATGTGTTTACGGACGGTTTTACCCGGGTTAAATCATCACGGTGTTCATGCTCATTGTCAACCCTATAGAATGTATCATTCACACGAATAAAATCGTATTCCATCAAAGGTCTCCCCTGATCATCCGGTTCAGATGCCACCTGTAGGGATCGAACCTGCGCCCTTCCGCATGATAGCCTACCCATGGTAACGGATTCGGCCGTCCGCATCCAAAACACGTGAAGCCTACTACTGCTGAGCCCCGCCCAGGAACGTATTGTTCTCTTCCACAAGAATCGCAACTCGCGACTACTAACGTCCCCTCAGAATTTCCCTAAATCGACAAACCACCGAAGCATCACCACTCAGTGCGGAGCGAAAATATGCACATGTTCAACCCCATCTTATGAGGAGTTCGCAGAAAACCGTCGTTGGTTTTCGCATACTTCCACCCCGAGGCGTGAGGAAACCCCCTAGCTCAGTTGAGAAAATCAAACATATATTCCCACACAGTTGTCACTACTACCATATGAATATCCCTTGGCCATGCAGCGCGCCCTATGCGAAATAGTGTGTAAAAACAGGCAGTAGAAACGATGACCGCTGCAAGCAACACTAGAACTGATGATACCGTAACTTCCGCATATCTCGACTCAGCTGGAGAAGTAGGAACTGGTGTCGTTAAGGCCGATATCGTCGCGTGTGAGAAATGATGATGGAAAAAGACTACAAGTTCATACAGTGTGGGGGGAAATATGCACATGGTCAACTATATGTGTTGGTGACAATGTAAAATTCTGAGGTAATTTTGGTAAATTCTCATTGGTTTTTGTACATTTTTACCTGAATTCTTATGTGAACTTCTATAATTAGAAATTACCAGCTGAAAAAAACAAACATAGATCCAAATACTGAACCAACTACCCTATACCAACCTGATCACTTTCTAAAAGAAGTCCCATTGACGCAATGCTGTAGGCTACGACATACCCAGTCGGAACACGACCGTATGAATGCCTCAACTACCGACTAGAATACCCCTTGAAACACTACTCTCCATACATCGTCAATGTACACTAGTATGAAAGTTTCGGCTTTCTACCGCTACCGTCAACAGAGAACCTACCACAACACCGTGTTAAACATGCGAACTGGGTCATCGACGAGGACCCAGGTTCGATTCCCAGCAGAGGCATTTAAAACCCAAACCAGAACCTCCTCAGAAACATTGTCGAAGTGCACATGACCTCATTCCCCAAGTGGATAGTGTCTCCTGAGCTTGTCCAACTTGGCCTGCTATACAACAAAATACCCACTGTGTTAACAACTATCAACTCCACCTGATGCTTGGTCGCAGCTAGCTCCCGTGCTTTTTCTATACGTTCCTTCAAAGAGACTTTCTCTCTATCACCCGCGAAATATTGAACCTCTGTCATAAACCTGACCGACACCAACAATAACATAATCATCTACTTAAAAAGTTCACACATAGTTACGGTCATCGGTGATAGTCACCAATGCGGTATACCGACTATATAATTTCTCTCACAACCAGATGTGGAAGCTCAAGATCGTTCTACACCTTTCATTGGTCGAAATTTGAACTTGCGTTTCCGAATTCATAAATTTCATTTACGAATTAGAACTTTCATTTCGAATTTGAACTTTCATTTCGTGAAAAACTCCTTTCACTCGTCGAAAATCAAATTTCATGTATCTGATTTGTTCTTCCGCTTGTTGAACTTGAGATTGAAAAGATCTACAAAACTACTACTCGCATACGTGGACGACCGAAAATTTGACACAACATAGAGAGGTGATGAATCAACTTTCTAATCGCTGACTTTAACGTTATTGATAATATTGGAGTTTCACCCGTGATGTGAAAATCGAGTTTTTCACAGAGTATTACGCTACTTCATATGAAACTCCAATAAGTAACAGAACTTAATTTTATATATGGACTAAGGGCAGTATATACTACCAATATTGATTTTGATAACAAACATTGTATTACCATGAAAAGATAATATGTTTATAATTATTGGAGTTTCACGACCCGTTTTACGTGAAGTGGCGTGATACTCTGTGAAAAACCCGATATTCGCCGAATGCAGTAGTCATAAAATATGTTTTTCACTAGTGCTTTTTTCATATCACTAATGAAACTCCATTATATCACCGAGCAAGTGCAGTATTCAACATAACTGGCAGTCCCATTTGCGTTCTCCCATTATCCAGCTGTCCCACTACTAAGCTAGGCTGTGATTTTTCTGCTAATACATCCAGAACTCCTACGTAATACGGACATCTTCCGTGTTGAGCTGTGTTCCACAAGTCCACAGAACCTTTCCAAAACCAGCTCATCTTATTACCATCGCCTCCAGTTCTCAAGATCTGCTTGCTCTAGTATATACGGATCGATCTGACAAGACGTAACTCCGCACTACACCTAGTGCAGCAACAGAGCTTATGAGGTCAAGTACAGGACTCAGCAGAGAAGAAAACCACTATTCCCACTACTTTCTGAGAGCGCAGAAAGTTAGCAGTAGCCTTCCTGGTCCAATCCTCAGGGTTGCTACCATCTACCCATTTCTGCCACCACGATGTGAAAGTCCGAATTGAAGAACCCTGAACCGGCGCGTTGCAAACCGCTTAGTATTATTAGTAGTACGTGCATTCCAGGGACAGCTCTGCGCAATAAGCCTGTATTGATGGAGCTCCGATATAGTCCGGGTCGAATCCTCATAAAAATAGTGAAAACAGAACAACAATTGGGTGATGACATTCATCACGATTACATTGGAGTTTCACCACCCTAGTGATATGAAAAACACTAGTGAAAAAGATATTTCACGACTACTGCGTAGTGTGAATATCGTGTTTTTCACCGAGTTTTACACCAGTTCACGTGAAACGAGTCGTGAAACTCCATCAAGTTAACAAGGCAGGCCAAAACTTCCAAACCGTCGAATGAAAATTATGAAGTGTTTCTACTAAATTGTAATCAAGATTCGATCCGTCTAAAAAGGATTGAATTTTTCACAGAAAACAGTCGCTATACGAGATGGCTTAGTTGAAGAGATCAGACAACACAAGAAGTGATATTCTCTCCATAGGGCACATCGCTACCTATTGTTATCATCATCATTGTTAATTTTATAATGAAATTAGCATATATTACTACAGTATAGTAATGTTATTGACTTTTGATAGTGTCGCTCTATCATGCTGCTGTACATAATACAAGAGCTACTGACAACTACGATGGTTCGGTGGTGATAAAACTACAGCGACGGTCCTCGCATATAACTCCTGGATGATATAGCAATCATAACCAAGTAACGAGCTTGTTTGAGATTGAGTTCCCATTTAATGGAGTTTCACGACCCGTTTTACGTGAAGTGGCGTAAAACTCGGTGAGAAGCGCGATATTCGCGGTGATATGCAGTAGTCGTGAAATATGTTTTTCACTACTGTTTTTCATATCACTAGGGTGGTGAAACTCCGATATACTACAACCAAACCGTTATTAGTTTACATTAATAGTACTTAGACGCCGCATGGGTGATAATAACGTTGAAAAATAAACCAGCAATAGAAGGCCGATGCCCCATCGAAGAATCGAACCCGAGTCGGCAGGTGGTTATAACATCACCCACCCCATCACAGCAATTATTCCTTATTACACCAAGACTCCCTCCCATACCACTCAGAACTGACAACTATTTCACAGTCTTAGGCCCAGACTTCAGCAATTTCAACAGCATGCAATGTAAAACAACATTATAAGAGCATTATGGGTAAATGTAGTCATACCACTCCTCCGCCGCTTCACACAGCCCTGCCCCCTAAAGTGTTCTCAGCTGAATAGGTGAGATAAAGGAAGCCATCCTCGTCCTTATGAGCATCGTACAACTCCGACATCATCGAACCTAATTTCATTATTTCAAACACGACGGCTCTTCTAGAATCGATCAGATTCACCCGTCCGTGGGGTTCTCTTCTTAACGAATAAATAGATGGTTTGCTCAGCAGAGATTCCCTGAATTCCCCGTTCATGGCCATTCTCAACAGCTTGTGTGATGTGCTTGTGTACTATATACCTGAAAATTCATCAAGGCAATGGACTTGGATGAACTGAGGTCGAGGACTGAGTTTCAAAACAGTACTTACTGAACAACTTACGGGAAGTTTTTAAATTCTAAGAAGGCTTTTATATTTTTAAGAAATCTTATCGGTGGTTGAAGCGATCAATTTAGTGGGTGAAGAAATCACATTCACGGGGAGGAAAATCAATTTCGGACGGCAGATTCGACGATGCAGATTTACACTGTGCTGTCCCACGATCCACTTCTGAAAAGAAGCGTAACTACGCCGCAAGGCATTCAGAGACACAACAACAGTGTATTGCAGGGTGCAGGTTTCAACTACGCGAAGTGTCATGAACGACACGAAAACATACTGTATGTTTTATGAAGAGATATCAACCATTCCTGGTGCTGCTGGTCTTTGTCCATGGTAACAGTGGCACAAGGGGACAGAGAGAGATGGATAGATGTGTGGACTATTCAGGAGTTATCGTGTGCAATGGAGTTTCGGTTTCCAGCCCTTAAATGTGGTTTTCACTGTGTGGAGGTATGGACATGTCGCACGAAAAAAGCCAATTTTCGTAGCTTACTTGAACTCCCCACACAGCATAGTTCCCGGGACGAGGAATTTCTTTTTCTCGATCTCAGGAAGGTCTGAGCGCTCAGCCTTCTCCACTATCACAGGTACTCTGTCGGGATACCTGAGGTGGTGAGAAAATCTTCCGAGTGCGCAAAGATATGCCTTCTCACTTCTGTAGTATGCGTCGGGCCTCGGCTAGCCTCCGATCAAAAGGGATGGAATCTTGCATGGGGGTGGAGTTAGACGGCATTGCGAGAGTTCAACTACAGGGGAGTGGAAGGGAGATCGATATTACCGCGCGCCATTAAACTAAGCGCTCGCCCACGACAAGTCGAAGCATATTGGCCCTGTTTCATAGGAGCAAATTGCGCCTTAAACTTAAGTAACGCCTTAAAAGGCGCCTTAAGTTTAGGAATACTTAAGGCGCCTTAAGTTTCTGTGCATATACTTAAGTATTGACGAGAAGTATTTCACAACATGCGTACTTAAGGAGCAACTTAAGTACTCCTTAAATTTTATTAAGGTAGAGCCGACCCTACCTAAACAGATATTCAAGTATCCTTGTGAAACCGGCCCATTATCTTCGTCACACGAATTCTCTTCCGAGGACCACCAAGGCGTTGTGTTGCCGTAGTGTAGCTGTATGTACACACGCGTTAGAGAATGAATTCAGAAGATCTGAAACGAGTTCGCTTCTACACCACTCATAACTGCATAGTAGTATCCACATATGAGTTTGCTAGTGTCATGTCACTCCGTGAAGGCGCGGAGATATGCCAATATTGCAGAGATGCCAGCATGTTTTGGTATGAGCACTCACTATTTGCCCATTAGATCATGTCAGCTACATCTGGACTCCAGATTCTGGAGTCGTATCAGAGATCAGGAGGAGGAGGAGGAGGAGGTTGTTGTTGAGGTGTATGATGCTCTTCCACCTACCACTATCCACAGAGGAACCTGTCAACAAGGCGAACACGCCGTGAACAATACCGTATTGTAATAGCAGGGGCAATCAACCTTTATCATCAATCATAGTATTTCCTCCCAAACTACAATAAGGCTCTTCAGCAGATTTCCAGAAATCTCCAATTCACCATCTCTATTAATCATGGAGTACAAGAGCCAAAACCATAGTCGTACCGTTATCAGCGACATCATGCATATAATCGTCGGTGAAATAATCCCAAAACGCACATCATTCAGAGGACTACACTGTGGCTACATCTTCGTCGCCTTATGATCCTCTTTTGCTACGACGAGCCTAATATCATCATACCGTAACAATGTCACTCTGTGAATGCGTGGAGATATGCCAATATTGCAGAGATGCCAGCATGTTTTGGTATGAGCACTCACTATTTGCCCATTACATCATGTCAGCTACATCTGGAGTTGTATCAGCAAGGTTGTTGAGGTGTATGATGCTCTCCCACCTGCCACTATCCACAGAGGAACCTGTGAGTCAGGCAAGACCCCCTTGGCCTCGTTTTTATCATCTCTCCGATGTCCCCAGTAAATCAGCATACCAAACAGCGATACCACCGATAAAGACGATGATTTTCTCGAAAAACGAAGGTGTGGTAAGAAGCGATTTCTCGCGACTAGGCTTGTTCTTTGGCCGCACCGTAACGGGATAGCTTTAGAAAATCGAAAACAATTTGTCAATGGGCCGGTAGCATATCTTTTGCTAAAGATATATAGTTCAGATGGCAGCCCGCTGCTTCACTTCGATGGTCTCCCACATGAGGAATTCGGATGCATAGTGAATGCTGTCTACCATTCGGTTGCCAAAGGCTCGGATAGTTCAATTCCGGTTGAGTTGAGGCATTTACGGTATAAAATGAATGACAGTGTGTATTATTTTATCATTATGAGTGCTGCTGCTGCAGTTGCTACGACGTCGAACCCCCGAGAGCAGGCCATTAATAGTTATATTAGTAAAGTAAAGGAGCATAGAGAGCGCGAGGCCAGATGCAAAGAACGTAATAAGGGGTAGTAGGGAGGAGGTATGGGCAGAGACCATTCAGTTCGGGAACAAATCAAGGAAGTTGAAAATGACTTCGAGACGTCGGAGGACCATTTGAAGGCTCTCCAGAGTGTCGGACAGATAGTCGGCGAGGTTCTAAAGCAGCTAGATGAGGAGAGGTAGTAGTAGGGGTATGTAGGTAGTTGTGTACATCTCATATTTTTATACTAGGGTAAGGTGAACTGATCTGGATATCACCCGTTGGCTTTAAAGTGTAGTTTTATGAGCGCTTCTCTCACATTTGATGACGGGGTTTTGCTTTGAGAAAGCGACCAATACCATTCCTCTCCCAACTAACGAGAGATAGTTGGTAGAGGCAGTGTTGTTAACTTAGATTCATTGTAAAGGCATCCAGCGGTCCCCGATATGTGGTGACCTGCAAGCAGCGATTGGATGCGGCCAAGCTGACCACAGGCACTCGAGTGGCTCTCGATATTACTACTCTTACTATTATGAGTACGCGGGTCTTCTTATTATCGGGTCGAAAGTTTCCGTTTCAGAGGCGATGCCGAGGGAGGTCGATCCTCTGGTTTTCAGTATGCTCAGCGAGGATCCGGGTGAAGTGCGGTATTAGTTATTAGGAAAATGGGTTGATCAGTAGTAGCTTTTTATGACGTAGATATTCTGAAGTTGGCGGCCTCAATGAACAAATTAGAGCGATGAGAGAAGTTGTTGAATTACCCCTCACCAACCCTGAGCTTTTCAAAAGGGTTGGGATTAATACACCAAAAGGAGTTTTACTGTACTAATTTTAAGGGAAGTATGCGCCTACTACAATGCGACAGATACGGTCCCCCGGGTACTGGGAAAACGCTGTTGGCTCGAGCGATGGCTCATAACATGACGGCGAGTTTTATCAAGGTGGTGGCCTCGGCTATTGTGGACAAGGTAGTTGGTATATTGGATAGAAATGGAATATAATTTTCCTCTTTTTCTATCAGTACATTGGCGAGTCCGCACGTGTGATTCGTGAGATGTTTGGTTACGCTAAGGAACATCAGCCATGTATCATTTTTATGGACGAAATTGATGCCATTGGTGGGAAGAGATTCGGTCAGGGAACAAGTGCTGATAGAGAGATTCAGCGAACTCTTATGGAGGTAAGTGGACAAGCCATAACTATATGAATATCGCGTATCACGCCTAGTAACTATACGAGAATCTTTGACGTGTTTTATTGTTTTTCGTTCAGCTGTTGAATCAACTGGATGGATTCGATGACCTTGGGGCTGTGAAGATCATTATGGCCACTAATCGTCCTGACGTACTACTGCTATGCCTACCTTTCCCTTTTCAAATGGCATGCGCGTTCAGGTTCTCGATCCTGCTCTTCTGCGTCCCGGCCGTCTTGATCGTAAAATTGAGATACCACTCCCCAACGAAACAGCTCGAATTGATATCTTAAAGATTCATGCCAGTAAGTGCAGTATAGAACTGCTCCGAACCACTGTGGTTTGGAATCGTTCAGGTAAGCTCGCCAAGCACGGTGAGATTGACTACGACGCCTTATCGAAGCTCTCCGATGGCTTCAACGGCGCGGATCTGCGGAATATATGTACGACTGCTGGTTGGTTTCACGGAGCCTCGTCGTTGTTGATGCTGCTGATGGATTAGGTACGGAGGCGGGTATGTTTGCCATCAGGGCCGAACGTGATTATGTTATTGAGGAAGATTTCATGAAGGCTGTACGGAAGTTATCGGAAAGCAAGAAGCTCGAGGGCAAGCTGGACTATGAGAAAGTATAAATACCACTATTGTGGAGACGGTTGAACTGGAAATGTGTTTCGATACGGTTTTATTGAGTTCTTGAGTCCGATCCTGAATCGCACACTACGCGACTGAACCAAGCTATAGGAATATCGAGACAGTGGAAGACAGTTGACTGAACCAAAACGCGCTGTCGAAACTACAGTAGACTGTTCGTGGGGTGGCATGGTTCGGATAAATCAGTGAAAAAAGGATTCTAAATGTTTTTACAAGGGTTCGAACTTGAGTCTTAGAGGATGTCGCTCTGCGTTACTAACGACTAGACCACTCTGAACTCGTAAATCATGATCGTCACGAATTGCGACTCTAGCCTTACCTTGGCTCTCGTCACGGAGGCCTCATCAGTGCAGTAGTAGTTTCTGTGCCTCCTTACTTCAATCCACATTGTGGTGTCACTTGGCACAAGGTCGGGTCTTCCCAGTGCTAATTCGAGAGTGTCGTTATCTACCGAGTTAACCACTAGGAAATGATAGTGACGCTAACTACAATAGAGCGACTATCAACATCATAAACTGATAATCTGTTCAATAATCTTCCAATGGAGGCACGTGTACTTAACGTCGTACGCTTAACCTATGCGCGCCAGCGGAGCGATCGATGTCATGTTTTTGGAGAAAGCCTGCCTGCAACGAATGAGCTTTCCCGATGGCTCGGTGCAGTAAACGCAAAACGCACTATACAAAGCCGCTCTGATATCATATGTGTTTGCAAGAATCATGGTAATGGATTGTCTACTACTTCTGTGGCAATCGTGAGCCTATCTTATTGGGAAAATAGCACACGTGAGGACGACTCTCCCAGAGGCTCATCGTAGTCAGTAATACCAACTCATCCGTTACAGCTCATTGGAGCCTTTTCTCTCGTTACTATACAAAAGATCATTGCATTGATTTCTTACGTCAATAAGTGAGCACCTGTCTCTGACGACTCGAAACGAACAGCGATGCCAGTACTAGTGGTGTATTTACTCTTATTCCAGCGAAAGAGGGTCTCGCATCACCTCCGCAACTCCTCCAGCCTTTTCAACTGTGATGCAACCGTTCGACAGGACGAAATGTCCGTCCATGACAATTACGCCCTCGATGGTCACTGAGGCCGAGCTCAACGAAGCACTGCTACTAATAACGGGAAGGCTAACGCTCGCTGACCCTGCGCGTGCGTGCCAACACGTTTCTGCACGCGTACACAAGACTCTGTTCAACCGCCCTCTCGCCTATTCATACCAAACATGGCTCCAACTCGGTTGTTCCCCAAACCCCGGGGCAATAACGAGCCTTGACGCCTTGGACTCGAAATGAATGCTCGAGGGGCATGCTCTCTTCCGCGAAAGTTGAGTAAAATTCCGATTCGGTAGTTTTTTTTTCTACCCAGCACCACGACATGCTGATCTACCGCGGCGTCGTTGCCATCACTGCTGTTGTTATGGGGGCCCTATGCAAGACCGATGAGGATGTCGCACCAAAGCCTCGCCCAGATCTCCCTCCGAGTGATAGTCTCCGCATTGGCGTCAAGTAAGTGACACCCGATTCGCTTGGATGCCATCAGTGTCACCCAGACGCCGAGCGGAAACGCCCTGTGATGAGCCTGCCAAAGACGGGGACGCTGTAGCAGTTCACTACACAGGCTGGTTGAGAGCCACCGCTGAGAAGTTCGACAGTAGTCGTGATAGGAAGGAGCCTTTCAAGCTCACTCTCGGGCAAGGCATGGTAAGCTCCCTTGGCTTCAGTCTCGTCAACAATTTTCGGTTAAGGTCATTAAAGGCTGGGACCTGGGCATCCTCGGTATGTGTCCTGGTGAGCAGAGACGTTTGACCATACCAGCTGATCTCGGGTGAGTATTCATATCGCTCTTATGTATGATGCATGTCGCGAGGAAGGTACGGCCAGAGTGGATCTCCTCCTAAGATTCCCGGCAACGCCACTCTCGTTTTCGATGTTGAGTTGATCTCTATCAACGCCGATGATAATGACGACATTCTGGACGAGGACGACGAGGATGACATGGACCCCCTATTTGATAGCGAGGAGAAGGAAGAGGACAAAGATGGCAAAGTGAGGGAATAATGGGCATGCGTGTGATTGCATGACGAGTCGCTTGCAGGGTGGCGAGGATCTCGTCGAGGAAGGAGTAGAAGATGACCTTTAAGACAAAGATTCAGTTTAGTCTCATGATAGCAGCCTTTTCGTTGGTGGGAATTACTTGTGTTTTCTACACACTACATGTTCATCCGGCTCAATGGACACATCCGACCATTTTCGTAAACACAAAACCGCAATATATGAACTGATACAGATTGCCAATAATGATCCTCGTAGCCAGAATAATTTTCCTCATTGTACTCACTTCGTCGTTAAGAGCGGCTTGCACGCCACAGCTGTTCGCATGATTAACCTGCGAATGGTCAAATGCGGATGCAGCTCATCCCACTTGGTGAATCTCATGTGCGAGTCTTGTGATTCGCATCTGGAATGCATTACTAGACGAGAGGCTACCTGCTGGTGAAATTAGATACGGATGAATTGGCATGTGGCCCTAGTTATATGGAGTATATCAACTGAGCGCCGTTGCTAATCCTGCACGCTGTGATGGCTCCCATTGCAATTTTTGTGTTGTAACAATTGTGTCGCCCTGTTCCTCCTGTGCTTAGTATCTTTAGCTGTGCTAGGCTAGTAGTTCAACTGAACATCTATACATTTTCATGAATTTATCAACGGCGTTAGTCGACTAGGTAGAGTGGAGAGGATCGAAGGCTTGCAGATCTCCCTCGTGTTGTGACAATTGTGTCGGTACTGTTCCCCAAGCTTAGTATATTCTAAGCTGTGCTAGGCTAGTAGTGCTAGTAGGTAATCATTAGTTAAGTCTCAAGTAATTATCATTTTCCTATGATTAGTGATCTCGCGTTAACCCAGGAGACTGGACGTAGCCCTGACATGGCTCCGATGAAGGGACCGATGAGGGAGGTCTGTCCCGTGACTGAGATTTTGGGAGGGAGTCCCAAAATTTCAACGTCAATTTCAACGCGATTATTGTTAGCGAGCGACACTGTGATCGACCTGGACCAGAGAGTAGTGCAAAATGTCCCAATGTTATTTACATTGGACCATTCATTTACAGAAGACACCTTTGAAGGGGCACCCGAAGGTGACATCCTTGAACGAGTATTTGCTCATCTGTACAGTCGTATACCAAGTACAATTACTACTCATTTGAGTAGTCCTCAAGTCTCACCTAGTAGGTGAGTAATCTCAAGATTGCTGAGTTTGAAAGAGTTATCTTATTGTGTGCCGAGCCAAAGCACGGCGTCCTGAGAGGTTCGGTGTTGTCACCGCTGTTCAATACGCTACCACCCAGTCTCAGCCAACACTCCCAGATAACTAATGTGATGCGGTGAAGCGTACCATGAAGTCCATGCGTCCAGCGCCAACAGCAAGATGCAATTAGACTAGCACCTGTAAGAATTGCTTGGTGCGCAAACTTCCCCTGACAACAACAAACTTGCATCGCCGTAGTGTTGGCAGACCGCCATCAGATGCATCCTGAATGAGCTCACTAGTCAGAATTGACCAACACTACAAGGCGATAGGGATATAAGCATTAAGAAATTACCGACATTACATACCATTCGCCAATGAGATGACCATTCTTAAAAAGGATGGGCAATTATCCACGTGATATAAAAATCTCAGAAAACGACAAATCATATGAAACCCCATCAGACTTCTTCTACAGTCTGCTCGCCGCCTCATTCGTTTGATTATCCTCGGCGACCAGAGTTTTGGCCATTTCAGCGAGTTTCCTCATTTGTCTAACGCCGAGGTCCAGCATGATCTCCTCACTGCCACCAGGTACCGCCATAGCCCTTACCTCACGGTTTAACCTCTCTACCTTCTCACCGACACCTCCTCTAGAATACGACAACCCACCAAAGATCTGGGCCGACTCTCTGGCACAGTACTCGAAGACTTTAGTGCATTGAACCTTCAACAGAGCAGTGACTCCACCAAGCTTCATGTTAGCTTCTAGAGGATGCATAGTGGACAGCTGATAAGCCACATTCTCGAGCCACGCATGAGTGGCCTCAATGAGCCTGGACATCTCCGCGAGCTTCCATCGTATGACCTGATGCTGGATAAGAGGCTTACCGAAGGTCTTGCGGCGGTGGGCGTGCTTGAGAGCCTCTTCGTAGCATACACGAGCAAACCTGTTCGTCTGGGCGCACAGGGCAAAGCGCTCGTGATTGAAGTTGTGCATGATGCATTTAAAGCCCTTATTCTCCTTACCGATGAGGTTCTCGATGGGGACTTTGACATCATCAAAGGAGATGAAAGTGGTGCCAGAGGACCAAACACCTGAGCATTTCATCCTTCTAGTGGTGACACCAGGCATGGTCTTCTCGATGAGTAGTAGACTGATACCGTCCATACCGGGGCCTCCAGTGCGGACAGCCACCGTGAAGTAGTCAGCCCAAATGCCGTTGGTGATCCACTTCTTCTCACCATTGACGATGTAGTACTTCCCACAAGAGGACTTCTTAGCGCTGCATCGGATATTGGCAACATCAGAGCCAGCAGTCGGCTCGGTGATGGCCAGGCAGATGATCTTCTCACCAGACAGACACTCCGGCACGATGCGGTCCCTCATAGCCTTTGGGCCAAACCTCAACACAGGGGGAAGGCCGATGGTCAAACCGCCGACCAGACCCCAGGCCACGCCACCACTTCCACATCGGCACAGCTCATCAGAGACAATGAGCTCATGAAAAACGTCAATCTTGACACCCTCGAGAAACTTAGGGATGCCGCCATACTGAACGGGGTAAGGATGGCCCATCGCCAAGGACGTGAGGCCGAGTGCGCCCATACGACGGTGCACCTGAGGCAAATTCGACTGACTAAAACGGTGAGAGAATCACGCCGCGCTCACCTCCCGAGGAATCTCCAGATTTTCGTCCCACTCAAAAACGTGAGGCAAGACCTCCTTCTCAAAAAGGTCCCTAACGTACTCACGGAGCTTCTTGTGGCTCTCGTTGTAGAAAGGACTATTTCCGGCTTGATACCAATATGGATCACCAAAGGCGTTCGCATCACCGAAGACATCAGTGTTGACGCCCATACTGCGAGCCATCGCCATTTGCTTCTTGTTCGCAGCGTTCTCCTGCTCCGCCTGACAAAAAAAAGGGATAACCAAACGACCTAGATCGAGCCCGTATATTCAGCTACGTGGTAATTATTATAAGACTAACTACCACCGAAGTATGCGAGAAAGATTCTTCTCACAACAAGAGAATCAGGAAACTGTCCCTACCTGTTCAACGAGGACCTTGGCCATCTCGGCCAACTTGGACATCTGTTTGACGCCGAGGTCCAGCATGATCTCCTCACTGCCACCAGGCACCGCCATAGCCCTTACCTCACGGTTTAACCTCTCGACCTTCTCACCGACACCTCCTCTAGAATACGACAACCCACCAAAGATCTGGGCCGACTCTCTGGCACAGTACTCGAAGACTTTAGTGCATTGAACCTTCAACAGGGCAGTGACTCCGCCAAGCTTCATGTTAGCTTCTAGGGGATGCATCGTCCCCACTTGATAGGCGACTTGCTCCACCCAGGCGTGAGTGGCTTCTATCTGCCTAGCCATCTCGCCGAGCTTGAACCGAATGACGGGATGCTGGACCAGGGTCTTGCCGAAGGTCTTGCGCTTGTTGGCATGCTTCAGGGCTTCCTCGTAGCACACTCGAGCGAAGCGGTTGGTGAGAGCGCACAGCGCAAGACGTTCGTGGTTGAAGTTGTGCATGATGCATTTGAAGCCCTTATTCTCCTTACCAATGAGGTTCTCGATGGGGACTTTGACATCATCAAAGGAGATGAAAGTGGTGCCAGAGGACCAAACACCTGAGCATTTCATCCTTCTAGTAGTGACACCAGGCATGGTCTTCTCGATGAGTAGTAGACTGATACCGTCCATACCGGGGCCTCCAGTGCGGACAGCCACCGTGAAGTAGTCAGCCCAAATACCGTTGGTGATCCACTTCTTCTCACCATTGACGATGTAGTACTTCCCACAAGAGGACTTCTTAGCGCTGCATCGGATATTGGCAACATCAGAGCCAGCAGTCGGCTCGGTGATGGCCAGGCAGATGATCTTCTCACCAGACAGACACTCCGGCACGATGCGGTCCCTCATAGCCTTTGGGCCAAACCTCAACACAGGGGGAAGGCCGATGGTCAAACCGCCGACCAGACCCCAGGCCAGTCCACCGCTACCAGCACGTGCGAGCTCATCGCTGAGGACCAACTCATGGAAGGTGTCAAGTGGCACTCCCTTGAGCACATCTGGTGGGGACTGGTACTCGACAGGATAAGGGTGACCCATGGCGAGGACGTTGATACCACTCTGGCCGAGCATCTTGTGGACTTCACGAGGAATCTCGAGGTTCTCATCCCACTCGTGGACGTGAGGCATGAGCTTCTCCTCTACCAGAGTGCGCATGAATGCCCTAAGACGTTTGTGGGAGTCGTCGTAGTAGGGAGAGTTGTAAGACTGGTACCAGTTGGGATCACCAAAGGGGGAGGCATCACCGAAGACCTCAGTGTTCACGCCCATACGCTTCGCTTGTTGAATCATTGACATTATGAAGATGAATAAACCCAACGATAGACCTACGAGGGGGACTAGGAGACTCAACGAAGAGATTTGAAAGTGAGGATTTCTTAGAATTACATCATCTAGAACAAGGTTGCTTCAAAGTGATTTTAAGGCGCGCGCTAAAATTTCGTATCACGCGCGAATTCGATAAACCGCGGTATTGTGCGGGACGTGGGAATTTTCGGTGACGGAAGTTAGTAGTTTCGGCAGAAGTCTTGGACTAACATAAACGGTGTGCGGAGGAGCACTACGATCGATACGATCCTTGGATTTGGTCACTCTGTCTTAAGTAGTATTTGGGTTTTTGATGTTGTTATTCCCAACAGGCAAATTCCAGGCAGAGGCGCTCTCAGACGATACGCCATATAGTGCAGACGCCTGCCCCTTCTATTAACGCCATACGAGTGGATTCTACTGATGGGGAGGGGGTCAGTGCACGACTACTACTGGGTGATAACTCGGTTGGACATATTCTGCCTTTCAGACCGCACAATCTCTGTTGAAGGGAAGTCCTGCAGCGTGGAGCATCCGGCTGGTGCTGAGCTTGTTGAGCTCTCTGGAATGGCTGCGATTGAAATTACGTGAGAATTCGGGCGTGGGTGGTAATGTTTCAGCTCGTTGGGTGCAGTAAATTTGGTGTAGCCGTTAAGCCTCGTATAATGTAGTTTACGGAATCATCCAGGAACCTATAATGTTCCCGGGAGGGGAAAACTCATTTTCAATTTTCCACGTATGGCTAGGAACACATTCTTCGATCAGTTTCCCATGTAAATGTCATCATCACATTAGAACCATCATTTTCCCCATTGTTATCAAACCCTAGGGACCGTTATTTCTCATAGACATATGGGGTTCACACAATATAGTGTTCCTAGGGGAGGGCTCGTCTATGTTGGTTGCAAAACTCGTCCTATGCAGTGACGAGGCTCGGAAAGTGATGGAAAGTCGGCTGTAGTAGGAAGTATTAGTTCAAAACGGTATGTTGGGAGAAGTGCGTATCGGACCGCATGTCCTCTATTGGCGAGCAGGTAGCGTGGGGAACGGTTTTACATGTGTAAAAACGGTTGGTATTTTGTATGCTATTGGTTTATACTCCAACATTATAGTCGCTTTATTTCGGTAAACTGCAAAATAGCTAACGTGAGTGTACTAACGTGAGAACTGAAATCACCATATCTAGTGATTCGACAATTTAATAGTCTTCATAATGAAAACTACTTTATTAAAATCACAATATGATTTCCACTTGAGGATTTGTATTTTCACCACCCTTTTCAACAGACCATATGCTATTGACCGACGCCATCATCTCTCGTCAAGGTCGGCCAAGTGCGAGCAACACTTATTCTCTCTAACAGGGAGTCCTCGAGGAACTTGAAATGTTCCCGGAGGGAACGAATTTTGGACCCCCAAAATGGCTAGGAACATGATTTCGGCCAGTTGTCGAGATTATCCCCATTATAATCGCTGATTCGGAACATTTTTCCTAGTCTCGGCAGGATTTTATGAACGTTATTTTTGAGAGCTGAATGACTCCTTGCTTTCTAAGGATGTGGTAGCGTTTTAGTTATCACCTGGTTTTCACTGTAAGCCGATCTTATTGTGAATATTTGATTTCTGACCCCCTTCCTGATGATGGGGAGGGCCCGCATGTGTGTGTAGCTTCTACAGCGTTCATTTAGACGGTATCTTGTTGTGAAGTTATTACTAATGTTGCCCATGGGTTCTCCTGGTAGTTTCATAACTTTTCATAACTAACCATTGAAATGATGCCTCCAACAAGAAAGGACGACTTCTGGCCAGATGAACATCGCTCGGTAGCAACGGACTGGACCGGTCTCGTGCTCGTTTGAGACGGGGTATACTGGTCCGATACAAGACGCTAGCTGGAGACTCCACTGTTCCAATTGGAGATGTTAGTGAGTATTTGGCGGAATGGGAGAGCATTGGACTGGGTTAAATCGTTCAATCGAGAGGGCGTGGGTTCAATTCGAGCTGCCTGTATTTTTCATCGATTACTGCAGGCAGTGTTGGAATATGTGTTCGCTTTCCTCAGCTGAGCTCAGGAGCTCCTCACTAATTATCAAGATTGCATACGAACTCGGGTAGAAGTGTACAGAAACCAACAAAACGAAAACCTTGTTTGGATTTTTTCCATTTGTCGGTGACAACATGAAATTCATGTGGGAATTTTGGGAAATATCTTCAAAATTTTCATATTTTCACCGACACATGTAGTTGACCATGTGCATATTTATTCGCACTGACTGCAGATAAGGAGAAGCAAGTGTTGCTAGGCGAGGTCCGGGGCTACAGTTCCCTTGTGTGGCAGGTCTCCTGGGTTGATCTTAAATATGGCAGTGTCCTCGTCAGTGTGGGGTATGATAAACAGGTGAGTTTCGAGTATACTTTTGATGATAGGGAAAATATATTTTACGTCTACTGCATATCAGATTTTTCATAGAGTATTACACCAGATACAATGATAACGAGATAGATATGTTCGGACTGGCGTGGTATCAGATTAAAAAACGAAGATGCGAATTTGGCGCATGGACGAGGCTGCAGGGGAGTGGGGAATAGAAACTGAGTTGCCCTCGGGCAAGCACACTGACGTTGTAATAATTGCGGTCGTGAAAGTTGCATAAAATTTATGAATTCTTTTTGAGGTTAACGATGGTATCGTCACTCATCATATAGTGCCCTGCTCAGAAGATGGCAGAATTGTGGTATGATTATTCGGCAATTTTGTGGCGTGTGACGTTTTTTCATAGATTTGGCAGTGCGATATGGTGGGACAAGGATGGAAGAGTACGCAGGAGTTCCATATGAAAGTCGCGGCTTACGGGCTGAGTTGGAATATAACGAGAAGTGTATGAATAGTTTTGGAGGAATATATATGTCCGCCTTCCTCGCTTGTCGTAGGAGTTAACATATGAATTCGGGTAGAAATGTACAGAAACCAACGAGAATTTGCCAAAGTTTTCATATTGTCACCAACCATATGCATACTTCCCACACTGGCAGTTGAATAGGAATTTGTTGATTATTTCCTCTCAGGCTTCCCCGAGGACCGCGGCAGAATCTCAGTTCATAAGGACGTGATTGGTGCGTATAGTAGGGATATGAATAGCTCTCAAGCTCCTAATAATGCGGCAACAGCAATGTTAGTGACCTCTACGTGGGAACTTAGGAGTGATGGATGTGTTGTGTTACTCGCATGTGTATATATTACTTTTCCTAAGATGGAGTATTGGAGTTTCACGAGACCCTTTTTACGTGAAGTGACGTGAAATCCGATATTCGCGGTGATATGCAGTGGTCGTGGAATATGTTCTACACTAGTGTTTTTCATATCACTAGGGTGGTGAAACTTCATTTTTATGTATTGAATATATAAGCGTTATAAATATGTATATGTTGATGTATATAGATGGTGTTGGAGTAGGAATATATGTTTGCTTTCCTCAGCTGAGCTCAGGAGTTTCCTATACAGTGTTGGAGTAGGAATATATGTTTGCTTTCCTCAGCTGAGCTCAGGAGTTTCCTATACAGTGTTGGAGTAGGAATATATGTTTGCTTTCCTCACCTGAGCTCAGGAGTTTCCTATACAGTGTTGGAGTAGGAATATATGTTTGCTTTCCTCAGCTGAGCTCAGGAGTTTCCTATACAGTGTTGGAGTAGGAATATATGTTTGCTTTCCTCAGCTGAGCTCAGGAGTTTCCTATACAGTGTTGGAGTAGGAATATATGTTTGCTTTCCTCAGCTGAGCTCAGGAGTTTCCTATACAGTGTTGGAGTAGGAATATATGTTCGCTTTCCTCAGCTGAGCTCAGGAGTTTCCTATACAGTGTTGGAGTAGGAATATATGTTCGCTTTCCTCAGCTGAGCTCAGGAGTTTCCTATACAGTGTTGGAGTAGGAATATATGTTCGCTTTCCTCAGCACCTGAGCTCAGGAGTTTCCTATACAGTGTTGGAGTAGGAATATATGTTCGCTTTCCTCAGCACCTGAGCTCAGGAGTTTCCTATACAGTGTTGGAGTAGGAATATATGTTCGCTTTCCTCAGCTGAGCTCAGGAGTTTCCTATACAGTGTTGGAGTAGGAATATATGTTTGCTTTCCTCACCTGAGCTCAGGAGTTTCCTATACAGTGTTGGAGTAGGAATATATGTTTGCTTTCCTTAGCTGAGCTCAGGAGTTTCCTATACAGTGTTGGAGTAGGAATATATGTTTGCTTTCCTTAGCTGAGCTCAGGAGTTTCCTATACAGTGTTGGAGCAGGAATATATGTTCGTTTTCCTCAGCTGAGCTTAGGAGTTTCCTATACAGTGTTGGAGTAGGAATATATGTTCGCTTTCCTCAGCTGAGCTCAGGAGTTTCCTATACAGTGTTGGAGTAGGAATATATGTTTGCTTTCCTTAGCTGAGCTCAGGAGTTTCCTATACAGTGTTGGAGTAGGAATATATGTTTGCTTTCCTTAGCTGAGCTCAGGAGTTTCCTATACAGTGTTGGAGCAGGAATATATGTTCGTTTTCCTCAGCTGAGCTTAGGAGTTTCCTATACAGTGTTGGAGTAGGAATATATGTAATCGCTTTCCTCAGCTGAGCTCAGGAGTTTCCTATACAGTGTTGGAGTAGGAATATATGTTTGCTTTCCTTAGCTGAGCTCAGGAGTTTCCTATACAGTGTTGGAGTAGGAATATATGTAATCGCTTTCCTTAGCTGCTCAGGAGTTTCCTATACAGTGTTGGAGTAGGAATATATGTAATCGCTTTCCTCAGCTGCTCAGGAGTTTCCTATACAGTGTTGGAGTAGGAATATATGTTTGCTTTCCTCACCTGAGCTCAGGAGTTTCCTATACAGTGTTGGAGTAGGAATATATGTTCGCTTTCCTCAGCACCTGAGCTCAGGAGTTTCCTATACAGTGTTGGAGTAGGAATATATGTTCGCTTTCCTCAGCACCTGAGCTCAGGAGTTTCCTATACAGTGTTGGAGTAGGAATATATGTTCGCTTTCCTCAGCTGAGCTCAGGAGTTTCCTATACAGTGTTGGAGTAGGAATATATGTTCGCTTTACTCAGCTGAGCTCAGGAGTTTCCTATACAGTGTTGGAGTAGGAATATATGTTTGCTTTCCTTAGCTGAGCTCAGGAGTTTCCTATACAGTGTTGGAGTAGGAATATATGTTTGCTTTCCTTAGCTGAGCTCAGGAGTTTCCTATACAGTGTTGGAGCAGGAATATATGTTCGTTTTCCTCAGCTGAGCTTAGGAGTTTCCTATACAGTGTTGGAGTAGGAATATATGTTCGCTTTCCTCAGCTGAGCTCAGGAGTTTCCTATACAGTGTTGGAGTAGGAATATATGTTTGCTTTCCTTAGCTGAGCTCAGGAGTTTCCTATACAGTGTTGGAGTAGGAATATATGTAATCGCTTTCCTTAGCTGAGCTCAGGAGTTTCCTATACAGTGTTGGAGTAGGAATATATGTTCGCTTTCCTCAGCTGAGCTCAGGAGTTTCCTATACAGTGTTGGAGTAGGAATATATGTTCGCTTTCCTTAGCTGAGCTCAGGAGTTTCCTATACAGTGTTGGAGTAGGAATATATGTAATCGCTTTCCTTAGCTGAGCTCAGGAGTTTCCTATACAGTGTTGGAGTAGGAATATATGTTCGCTTCCCTCAGCTGAGCTCAGAAGTTTCCTATACAGTGTTGGAGTAGGAATATATGTAATCGCTTTCCTTAGCTGAGCTCAGGAGTTTCCTATACAGTGTTGGAGTAGGAATATATGTAATCGCTTTCCTCAGCTGAGCTCAGGACTCTCCTCGTTAGGCATTGAAATTTACCTAAGAATTTGGGTATGAATGTACAAAAACCAATGAGAATTTTTACAATTCCCCCCCCCCCCCCCCCGAATATCACCTTTACATTTGGACTGAATATGAACGCATTATGTTGTAGTTAGTATTTCTAATGTTCGGCAGCGAGCCGGACTTTTTTGGCTCTTTCCATGGAGTTGGGCTTCTTATAGAACCCTCCTCCAACGGCGGAGGCTATAACCACAACTACGACAATAACGTTGGGGACTTCAATGCTAATGCTACTGAGAGAATTCCCATGTGCGGTCCGCAACTAGCGGGAAATCTACCTCTGCTGCCACAGCGTGCGATGGTCGGCTCGCGAAGGGCTCTTGATATTGTTGATGATGGGTTGCAAGATGAAGTACTATATCGTCGTAGTAGTTCCATCACACTTCCAAGGGTAGTAGTAGTAGTATGTGCTACTTTTACTGTATTGTTCTTGTTTAGGACTCATCACCGTATACGTTGGCGAAGCGAGCGGAGAACGCACGAGATTATAAGAGGGCATTATATTGGCATACTCAGTGCATTGAGCAAGGAATTAGGGTAAGCCATATTATATGCAGTTTTACGTGAAGTTGTGGAAAAGGGCGATATTCGCGGTGATATACAGCAGTAGTCGTGAAATATGTGTATTAGCATACATAGGCTATATTATGTGCAGTTTTACGTGAAGTGGCGTGATATTTTGTGAAAAACAAACGCGATGTTCGCGGTGATATGAAATATGTGTATTAGCATATACAGTGCATCGAACGAGGAATTAGGGTGGGAAATATCAGGGAAGCTTCCTAGGGTTTGATAACAATGGGGAGAATGATGTTTCTAATGTGATGATGACATTTACATGGGAAACTGATTGAAGAATGTGTTCCTAGCCATACGTGGAAAATTCAAAATGAGTTTTCCCCTCCCGGGAACATTATAGGTTCCTGGATGATTCCGTGGACTACATTATACTGGAGTTTCACGACCCGTTTCACGTGAGGTGGCGTGATATTGTGGGAAAAATGTGTCGATTTGTTTCGACTCGCTGCCCGGCTCCCTCTTCCCTCCTATAGCTATCCTCCCTCCTTCCTGCACTTTGCACAACATCTCCGTTCGGTTTGAACTAGCTCAACTATACACTCGTGTTGCTATCTTCCTAGGAGAGAGGGACGGGGAGACCTCTGGCGCCCTATGTCAAAGGTTTCCCGTACTGGCACCTCCCATTTTTCATATCACTAGGGTGAAACTCTACTATGTGAATTTTCATATCACATTTGGTATCAGGCCGCTAGTGCAGTGATGGATGTCGCGGGTCTTTTTAACAAGTTTGGAAAAAAGGCGGAGGCGTTGACGTTTATGGCCCAGTACAAGCACTTGGTGCCGAAGGATCGTTATCAAGGTTTCCGAAGGTACGTGGGGGAATTGGAAAATTACTGTTCACAACAACAAGTGTAACACACTAGGGTAGACAGTGCGAACTAAACAGTTATGCATATGTAGATTTCCGAGATGCTTTCATACGACTATAGACTACGTAACGCTTCCTAAACGTTGGTGTCATCAATCGATTCACATTGTTATCATGTTGATATTACTCAAAGTTGACTTTCGAGGGCCAAGTTGAAAATACTACTTTGCATAACGGTTTGGTTCATCACACTGTAGTGAAAAACATATTTCACATTCAAGTCGGCGAAAAACGCATATGAGCTGCGAATAACGCGTGAAGCACGTGATATGGGGTCATTGGTTTCCGCGTTATTCATCACATTGTAGGTTGTACGAACGGGTGGAATACGATCTTAATCGTCCAGCTCAAGTAGCTCCAAGAATGCTGATGGTCACTTTGCTGCCCTCGGAAAGCATTCGAGATAGTGGCATGGAATTAGGGGACCCACCACAGTGGTACTCAGCTGATGCGATAGCATATTTAGGAAAATTGGAAAAGGGGTAAAAGTGCCCTTGCTGGGATTCGAACCTGGGACCTTCTCCTTCTGCTGTGTTATTAGTCCCTTGAATGTGAAGTTACTTGATCGCCTCTTCCCCAACCCTGAGAAGATTGAGTACCTGGTGGGTTCCTATACTACCCTGGAGATCACCATAGACGTTTTTAGGCGATTTGTGAGGCAGATCCCGACACAGGTGCCCAAGTGGCGTATGTGCAATTTGAAAGTCAAAGCTCGGCAAGGAAGGCGATGGTAACTGAGAAAGTAATCGCTCTGAATCATATGAAAATTAAGGGAGTTTCACGACTACCCGTTTTACGTGAAGTGGCGTATTCGTGGTGATATGCAGTAGTTTGTGAAATGTGTTTTTCATATCACTAGGGTGGTGAAACTCTAATATACAGCATGTATAGATTTGATAAATAGAGAGTTATTGGATATCGAATACATGATGTGAATGTTGTAGGTCCTTTGTAACATTCTCGTAACGTGGCCCGACAAGATGGCTTCAATGTTGCCGCCTCCGGAGGATGCTGTCACGGACAAGCATGTTGTACAGGATTCTGAGCGCTGGTAGTACCGACGGAAATATTTTTGCAATATGCAAGGCTGAGCCTCTCGAAATCAGCGTGGCGAAATACGCGCATGGTGATTTATATTCGTTGGTGAAATTTTTTCGTTTCTATGCAATTCCATCCGAACTCCTGTGCTCAGCTGAGGAAAGTGAAAATATATTCCTCCAACACTTGTCTGTTGTTGTATTAGTATTACGTCCCCATTTGAACCCTCTTTGGTGGTGTATAGAGTCCCTGCTGGATGGGCTCCTCAAGTTCCCGAGGCTGAGGTGGGTCCAGAACGATGCTGTGTGTGTGTGTTTCGACTTTGAATTTGTAGCCGGATGAGATGGACCTGCGTCGCACGAATTCCGTGAGAGAGGATAACACTCCATCAAGATTGGCATCATCATCAACTACGCCGTGCAGTGAGAAGTTAACTGATGTATCTCGAGCTGATTTGGTTGACCTGAGGAGCACATCTGCAGGAGGGCTGGTAGGAGAAGGTCCCGGGTTCAATTCCATGGTCAGTCGTTTTTCACTCAATAAATACAAGAAAAACGCATTTCGCTTCCGTACTGTTCTTATTTTCATTCGCATGTAGTTGTTCATGTCGAATTGCCGCGTATAGACTAGGTCTCTGGTGCGGAGCGGCGGAGTTTGCTGAAATTCACACCTTATGCAGTAATACTGCATAAGGAATATGTCTAGTGTGGGATTTGAACCTGGGTGCTGCGGATGACAACCCAGAATCTTAACCTGTTGAGCAAAATATTCTGTTGTACAGGGGTTAAATCTGTTCCCCTGGGTCTACCAGTTCGGGGGTGTGCAATCTCCACTTTGTTAGTATAATAAGAATTTCATGAGCAACAGAACGATTCCTTGATCATTGTCGGATCTGTTATAATTTTGTTATGCACGCACGCACACGGATAGAATGCGATATGAGCTTTGATGATCACTGTGAAATTTCTGGTCGAGTACGTTGAACTGTAGTGTGAACTATCAGTGCTTAGATAACAGAAAGGGTGAGAAGAGATCCATCGTCAGTAGCACAGAGCCGTACATTGCCGTCTCGGGGGAGTGATACCGCTGGACAGGGATGGGCTCTGCAGTTCACGCAGAAGATGATATGCATCAACAGGATGTTGGAAGGGATCCCAAGTGAGGAGGAGGAGGGCGTGGGTTCGAATCCCAGTGACGGCATTTTTTATATTTCAGTGGCCAGTTCCCAAACCCAAGGAATAATCCTGGCAGAGACGTACGAGTCTGTTGGCAGATTTGATGCGGCCTTCAAGTGAGGACGTTTTCTCAACTTAGCCGTTTTCCATGTTGACCTAATTCTAGGATATACGCTGATACGGCGATACTTGCTGGTGTCCAATCTCAGCAACAACTAGGGGAAAATTATGAGGTCGTGGACTGCGTCATAAGGTAGGCATAAACACTGTATACATAGTTGGTAAAAACATATTATATATAATATATAAACATATAAAAAATATAACATTTTATGATACCGTGAAGTCCACAGAAATGAATGATAGAGATCTGGAAAATTTGAAGTCAGTTGGTTTCGCTGAATACTACCTGTGTGTAATATCTTGGGGCTCCAGAATGGTCCTTCTCATTCGAGCGTTGGAAAATGAGGAGAGGATGTCTTATACTGATATCGTGTGAACGGATGAGCTCGACTGAAAGGTCAGCAGAGAAATATTACAGATTATTATTACATCTGTAATACAGTAATAATAATATTATATTAATATAATGCGATACTTTATTTGCGATTGATATATGCGATTACTATATTATATTAATATGTATTCTGTATTAATATTGCAGTAATACAGTAATAGTAATATTACTTTTATCTGTAATAATGGAACTGATGATGAACGTTCTTCAAAGTTATCGATTTCAAAGATAAAACTAATATGCGTATAATGAAATGCAACATTAGAATCAAGATTCAACAATTATAATGATTTTATCATGGGTTTGTGGGGTTTCACCACCCTAGTGATATGAAAAACAGTAGTGAGAAATATATTTCACGACTACTGCATATCACCGCGAATATCGCGTTTTTCACAGAGTATTACGCCACTTCACGTAA